GACTAGGCGCTTTAGGGTTTCGAACGTCGTCTAGTCATAAAGCGAGCACCGGGGGGGGAGGGGCGGGCAGGGAGGCGGAAGCGGGGGTGGCGGGGGGGAGGATGACGCCGTTGTGAGTGATGGGGGCGGGGGAATCGGGGGAGTCAGCGGAGCGGGAGGAGGCGGAGTTGGGGGAGGGGGGGGCGCGGGGAGGCGGAGCAGAATGCAGCCTGGGGCCGGCGGAGGGGGAGGGGTAGGGGTAGGGGCAGGGCGGATGGGAGGGGCGCACCGGAGATCGCAATCTGTTGATTTCGTATCGCCGCGATTTGCCCTTTTTAAAGGCGGACTTAATCCTTTCTCCCCGAGGCCGCCCCTCGGCCAAGCAGGAGTGAGTGAGAGCCAGAATCAGGGCGCGAGTGCCTTCTCCTCCCTCTCCTCTTCCGCCTCCCCTCGACCTCCGCCTAGTTGGGCCGCTGACTCGTCCCCTTCCCCCTCCTCTCAACGCCACTTTTCTCCCGGTTCGCACCCCCTCTCCTCGCCCTCCGCACACCCGCGCCCGCCCCGTCCCAACTCCCCCCTCCCCCCGTCCCCCCACTACTCTGCTGACGCTATCCGGCTGATTGCTTTGGGCGAGGGGGGGGAGATGCGGAGGGGAGAAGAGAGAGGGATGGGGAGGGGAGCGGGAAGGGAAGCAGGGGAAACTGCAGCAGCAGTGGGCTTTTATCGCCAGCAACGTCTGCAGCAGTAAGAGGAGGAAAAGGGGGAGGCGGAGGGGGAGAAAGCGCAGTAGCAAGAGGGGAGAAAGGGCACCGGAAGAAGGGAGGGTGGGCTAGTGCGTTCGCTAAGAGCAGCTCCTTCTCACCCTTCGGGCCTCCAAAGCTGGTTACCACGGGTAAGATGCACAGAAGAAGCTCCTCCCTGAGCACCTTCTCCTCTATAACGGAGCAGTCTATAGCGGAGCACTGTGTGTTGGCGCAAGGAAACGCAGAGGGGCAAAGGGGTGGGTCGGATGTAGGGGAGGGGTGGGACGATAGAAGAGGGGGGTTGCGAATCGGGGAGGGGAACAGCCCAGAGGCTAGTGACGGGGGGTTCATCACTAAGGCTGGAAGCTACAACAGCATAAGTAGGACTCTTAACAAAGAGTCAGATGGGACTGGAGAGGCGCAGAGGCAGGGCGCAGGTCGGTTTTGGGGCAGGTGGGAGAGGAAGAAAGGCGGAGAAACAGGGGCCAGAAGCGGGGAAGGAGGAGCGGAACGCACGGGAGGAGCGGAAGGCAGGGGGGGCGGGCTGGGTGGAGGCAGGTGGTCCTCATCAGCAGCGGGAGCAGGGACGAGGGGAGGCGAGGGGACTAACAGAGGCGAGGGGTCTAGCAGAGGCCCTCCTGGGGAGGGGAGGGGAGGTTCCCAGTCCCGTGAGGGGAGCTTCAAAGAGTCCCTGAGAGGGCGGTTCAGCCCGCCTCGGCTGCAGCTGGTGGACCCGGCTCTGCCTGATGGGTTTGGTGGGATGGGAGAGGTGGGAGACATGGGGGAGGGGGAGGATGAGCCTCTGCTGCTGCCGCTGTCGCCGACAGGCATGCCTGTTGCTGGGCTTCCTCCCCAGCAGCACCAGCACCAGCAGCAGCAGGCTTCGCACCTGTGTGAGCATGCGTTGTGTGCAGGGGCGGTGCTTGGGAGGGATGCTGCTGACAGCCTTGGCACTGGCATCACAGCGACCTCCCTACCCGCAACCCCCACACAGAGAGAAGCGCCACTAGGAGGAGGGGGAGGAGAAGGAGCAGACGGGCCGTCCAAAGAACAAGCGCTCCTTTCGTCGTCCCTGTCGTCACTATCAACCCGTAAACCCTGGGGCATTATATCGCAGAGCGCCTGTGCTGCTGCTGATGCTGCAGGTACTGAGGAGGAGGGGTCCATCTCTCCGCCCCCCCACCTTTTTGGCCTCTTTCTGGACCATTCTGCCACTGCTTCCGCTCAACAAGTCTCGAGGTCGGGAATGTTTATGGGTAGCGCCGCTTCGGCTCTATCTGCTGATGCTGCTGCTGCCTCTGCTGCTGCTGGCCCGTCTGTTCCTCTGTCTCTCCACCTGATCCCACCGCCAGGAGAATCAGACAGCTTGGTCGACAGCCCGGCAGCTGGCCTTAGAGTCTCTGCAGCAGCCTCTTCAGGTGCTGCTGCTTCAGGTGCTGCTGCTTCAGGTGCCGCTGCTTCAGGTGGGGCATCAGCTGTTGATTCAGGTGCTCGTGAATCAGGTGCTGAGTCGGGGAGAGGGATAGGGTCATGCACAAGCAGCACTGGCGAATCAGGGAACAACAGCGTTGGAGCAGCACCAGGATTGATACCAGCAGCAGCAGCAGCAGCACCAGCAGCAGCTCCAGCAGCAGCAACATCAGCAGCAGCAGCAGCAGCAACAGCAGTGGCAGCAGCAGAAATTACTGTTCCCCGTTCTGTCTCCCGCTCTGCCCTTCGCCGCCCGTCTTCAGCACAAAGCCCGCTAGCCTCCAACATGCGCCACCGCCGGGCGGCGTCAGAGGCCCGCGACTTCCTGCACGAGCTGGGGGCGCGCCGCCCGGCCTTCATGAACAGTGCCGTGAATAGTGGCTTGCGGGCGGCTCACCATGGCAGGAGCGCGTCTGTAGCGGTCCTTTCAGGGGCGGTAGGCAACAGGCGCATGGGAATCGAGGATGCAGCGAAGGGTGGTAAGGTTGCTGATGGTGCTAGTGACAGTGATAGCATTGCTGCTGGTAGTGGGAGCGCTGGTTGGGAGAAGCTTCCAGGAAGCACCGGCAGTAGGGATGATGGCGGTGGTGGCACGATCCAAGTGGCAACAGGACGGAGGACGCGGCTTGGGCGGCATCGCTCGTCTGCTTCCTTGGAGATGCCTCGCCGCCCGCTCACTGCTGAGGCGTGGCAGCATGTGGGGGAGGTGGATGATGAGGTGGTAGGTCAGGAGCAGGTATACCTGATGCAGGTAGAACTGGAGCAGGCTCAGCTGCCTTGGGTTGAGACTGTACCAGGCCAGGAGCAACAGCAGCAACCGTGGCAGCAAAAGCAGCAGTATCAGCAGCGCAAGAGCCAGCAGCAGCAGCAGCCAGAGCAGGAGTGGGAAGAACAGCAGCAGCAGGAACAGGCAGCGAGTGCAGGGTGGACGCAGAGTGTGGGAGAGAGCGATTTGGAGGAGAGAGGTTTGCAGGGGCAAGCAGACGTGTGGGTGGCTGAGGAGGAAGATGAGGAGGGAGAGGAGGGAGAGGAGGAGGGAGGGGAGGAGGGGCAAGAAGACAGGCTTGTTTTCATGGACTATTCAAGTGAGCTGGCTGCTTCTGATGCCCGTGGATGCAGTGGCAAGCCTTCCGATGCACTTGCCGCTCGATCCACGCCCCGTGATAGCAACCCTCGGAACCCTCATAGCCGAACTGCTGCCCGCCCCTCCTCTGCTTCCTCCTCCTCCGCCTCCTCCTCCTCTTCAAGGGGTCATGACAGCTGGAACAGTGCCACTCTCCCGCATTCTGCCGTCCCTGCTGCCTCTGCTTACTCTGCTTCTACTCATCCCCTTTCTGCACTGCCTTACCAGAAGAAGCCCGTGCGTCCGTCAGTCTCCCGACCCTCCGCCGCCCGCTCCTCTGCTTCCCCCCATGACAGCTGGAACAGTGCTGCCGCGTCTTTTTCTGCAGTCCATCCCCGGAATCCCACTAGCGCCTTCGTCTCCCGCCCCTCTGCTGCCTCCGCTGACCACGACAGCTGGAACACTGCCGCCCAGCCTGCTTCTGCAATCCATCCCCGGAATTCGCCCAGTTCCTTGGCCTCCCGCCCCTCCGCTGCCGCCCATGACAGCTGGAACGATGCTGCTCTGCCGCCCGCTTTTGCCATGAGCCAGCCATTCTCAAGAACGGCCCTGCGCTCCCCCCCTTCCCTCCCCCACCGCACCAACCACCTCCCCCTCAGGTCTCCCCGCTTCCCCCTCCCCTCCCCTCGCCGCCCCTCCCCCTCCCGAGAAGCCCAGAATCTCGCCCTGTCCGGCCGCCGCCCAGACATGCACCTGAGAATCCACCTGGGAGAATCCGACCCAGATTCATGTGCGGATCCTCTCCCTCTCGTGACACCTGGCCCTCCTTCGGCCTCCTCTGGTCCCTCTTCTGCTGCCTCCTGCCCTGCTGGCAACAGCAGCGGGCGCTGGGGGCAGTACCAAAGCCCCCGGTTACCCCCTCTCTTAAGCCCTCATGTCGCCGCAAGCAGCCCAAGATTCGATCGGCTGTACGACCTTCCCCACGCTAAAAAGTCCCCTCTACCTAGAGACCTTGTGCCAGACCCCTGGGATTCCCCCGATCGCCCCCCACGCACTTGGACCGAGGGCCGGCATTACCTGCAGTGTCGGCTCACGGCCCTCCCCCTGGTTTACCTGCGAATGTGCCTTGGGAAGACTCGGACCGGCATACTGCTGCTTATCTCTTGGACCGCCGCTCCGAGAATCCTGCCTTTCCCTTTCCCGAGCAGCTGCTGCAGCCACCTTTGGAACGGCACTTTGACCGCCCCCAGACGGCCCCTGACCGCAGCCTGCCCCGCCGAGGCAGCCGCAACAGGCTTGGGGAGAGGCTCGGAGAGAGTGGGCGGTTTGGTCCGGGAAGGCTGCGGGATTTAGAGGAACAGGAGGAGTGGAGGGAGGAGTGTGGGGAGGAGGGATGGGAGGATGGGATGGGTGGTGGCGGTAGCAGCAGCAGCGGCACACCAGGGAGCGCTTATAGCAGTGCGGGCATGGCTCATGGGTCAAGGAAAGGGGAGAGGCAAGGAGGCTATGGCAACCGCCAGGGGATGCGTTACACAGGTAGGTGGGCGGGCACTGGGTCGTTCCAGGAAAGGGGCGGTGTGGGGATGGGCGGTGTGGGGATGGGCGGTGTGGGGCTGGGCGGTGTGGGGATGGGAGGTATGGGGCTCGTGGGAAGACCAGAGGGGGGAAGGGGCAGGTACGGTGGGAATGAGGGTGGGAGGGGCAGTGGGGGGATGGGCGGAGGGAAGGGGAGCAGCAGCAGCAGCAGCAGCAGGGGGGGGGAAGAGCACGTGGTGCTGGTGGTGGTTTTGACGGTGGGAGCAATGGGGATTCAGATGGTGAGGAGTGGTCCGATGAGGATGAGGCAAGAGCGGGAGTAGGAGTAGGAGGGGGAGGGGGAGGGGGAGGGGGAGGAGGAGGAGGAGGGGGAGGAGGAGGATTGCAGGGAGAGGATGTGCGGAGGGGAGGAGGGGCGGCAGGGAGGTATGCGCCAGCTGGCGCGTCGCTGCTGAGGCGGCACAGCACGACCAACCGACGCCGCCCGGCCATGCGGTCCCTGGACGAGAGGGAGGAGGACGGGGAGATGACGGACTATAGAGGTGACTATGGGAGGGGTGATAATGATTGCGGTGATAACCGCTGGGGAGGCTACAGGGGGGGCGAGGGCCACAGCAAGCAGAGAGACGGACAGGAGGAGTATGATCAGTCACACCTTCCCCCCTGGAAAAGAGGCCCCGGGGCGGACCTTGTGTCGGGTTCAGGCACAGGGTTAGGGTTGGGGCCGCCCTTGGTGTCCAGGTGGCAAGGGATAGCAGATGGTGGGCGGGAGAGAGGGGGCAGAGGGGGGAGAGATGGGGGAGGGGGGAGAGACGGGGGAGGGGGGAGAGATGGGGGAGGGGGGAGAGACGGGGGAGGGGGGAGAGATGGGGGAGGGGGGAGAGATGGGGGAGGGGGAGAGATGGGGGAGGGGAGAGAGATGGGGGAGGGGGGGGGAATGGAGAGTGGAGGGACATGCCAGGAGTGTCCATGTCATGTGGGAGTGGGGCGTTTTGGAACGGAAGGGGCTTTGACGTTGCACCTGGGGGTGCGGCCGTGGCTGCTGCCAACTCTAGGCACAGGCCAGGTTCGGCGTCAGGCTTGCGTTCCGGACCAATCCGCGAGTCAGGTTCGACGAGAGGCCCGGCAAGTGGTGGAGAGCAGATGGGTGTGAGAGGTGGAGAAGAGAGGGGGGGGAGAGGTGACCGGGGAAGCAGCTGGGGTGGGGCTGGAGGGGATTTGGGGGAAGATGGTGTGAGTAGTGCGAGTGTGAGTAGAGCAGGTTTGAGTGTTCGGGGAGGAAGGCGGGAGGAAGAGGAGGAGTGGAGGCAGGGCGAGAGGGCCAGTGCTATGGGGAGTGAGGGAGGGGATGACATGTGGCGGGGAGGTGGAAAGTGCGATGAGGAGGGGTGAGTGAGGGAGTGGGAGAGGGTAGGGAGAAGGAGGTGGAGGTCTGGGGGAACGAGGAGGGAGAGGAGAGTGATGGAGGTGGCAGTGTGGTGGAGTTTGAGGATGAGAGTGAGGAGGGAGAGGAGAGCGAGGAGGGAGAGGACGATGAAGAGGAGCAAGACGAGGAGGAAGAGGAGGATGAAAGGGAAGGGGACAACTAGAGAGAAGATGGGGAAGAGGACGGAATTTAGAGGCAATGGAGAAAAACCGTACAGACTTGATGAGGGTGTGAAAGCATATACTTGGCTCCCAGCTGTGAGCTGGATGGCTCATTCGTATTGTATAATTTGATTACTATTTATTGACGAGTTGCTTGTATGGGTACGAAGGAAGGCATGTTCTTGTGTGGTGGTGGTGCATGTAAAGCTAGTCTACTTGTTGAGTGTGGCCCCATAAACAAAAGTAGAAAACACCAACGTTTCTTTGTATCGGTGCTGTTAAAACTTGAGTAGAGACACTTAAATCGCGTTCCACGCTCCAAGATCTTGGAAAGAACGTGGCGAATTTCCAACTTGACTCGTGTTCTCGTCCACGTCAAAGAACGCACATTCCACGGCAGTCCTTGAAGTTACCGACATCGACGTGTTGCTCCTGGAATCGCACGGTCTCTCTTGCTCCTTCCTTTCGCAACCCATCCCAGCCGTACAATGCCACCAAGCGTTTCACCCCACCCCCTATGATTTACTCGGGTTCGGCATCGATTATTGAAAATTCGCATAATCGCATCAGAGAATCTGGCTTTGAGCTTCGAGTTCTCTGCCTTCGCCTCGCGTCGCGACGCCTGTACCAAGTAGCCGACGTTTCTGCTACGGGCAGATAGGTCGGGTGACAGGTGGCCTCACTCACGCGCCTCTCTCACGGCTCGCCTCGCCTCGCCTCGCCTCACCTGATCGCTGATTCCCCACCGTTCCCGCCTTTCCGCCGTTCGCCTTTCCGCCTTTCCGCCGTTTCTCGTTTACTTTCGGGAAGTTCCCCCAGCCATGGCGTCCGCAACTATCACCGCATCTTCCGCTGCCTCCACTCGCCTCGCCGGGCCTTCCGCCGGGAAACGCGGACAGCACGCCACGTGTTCGCTCACCGCATCCTCCGGTCGCACCTCCGCGGCAGCGCTTACGAGCGAATTCCTACCGTCGCTACCTGTGAAGGTACGCAATCTCCGTAAATGCGCCTCCTCCTTACTGCCATGGTCACATCTCTCTGTTTCCTACCCTCTGCTGCTGCTGCTGCTGCTGCTCACATTTCCCTCCCCGCACCCCTCCCCTTCTCCCCTCCCCTTCTCCCCCTCCCCGCCCCCCTGCCCGCTTCCCCTCCTCCCTCCTTTCCCCCCTCCCTCCCTTCCCCCCCCCCCCCTCTCCCGTTCCCCAATCTGCTGCGTCCACGTGGCGCTCCTACAGACGCAGGCGCTGCGGGCAGGGGCCGGCCGCAAGCCCCGAGCAACCTCCGGGCGTCCCTGTCACGTGTTCGCGTCTGCTGATGTGGCGCAGCTGCGCGGCGCCGCGCGAGGCGATTAATGACATCATCTCGAGCAAGTCGTGCAACCCCATCCTGGTGAGTCTGCTAGTTAGTGACTCCCTGGCGACTCTCTGGCGACTCTCTGGCGACTCTCTGGCGGCTCTCTGGCGACTCTCTTGCGGCTCTCCCACCGGGGACTTTCACACTCGCGCGTGAGATGGATGCAGCTCACCCCGTCATGAGCCCACCTGCATCTACACTGAAAGAATAGGGTCATCATCGCCCAATCATCTACCAATCATCTACACCTCCCAACCACCTCCCAATCACCTCCCAATCACCTCCCAATCACCTCCCAATCACCTCCCAACCACCTCCCAACCACCTCCTATCGCCTCCCAATCCCCTCCCAATCGCCTCCCAATCGCCTCCCAACCACCTCCCAACCACCTCCCAATCACCTCCCAATCACCTCCCAACCACCTCCCTATCACCTCCCAATCACCTCCCAATCGCCTCCCAATCGCCTCCCAATCCCCTCCCAATCACCTCCCAACCACCTCCCAACCACCTCCCTATCACCTCCCAATCACCTCCCAATCGCCTCCCAATCGCCTCCCAATCCCCTCCCAACCACCTCCCAACCACCTCCCAATCGCCTCCCAATCACCTCCCAATCACCTCCCAATCGCCTCCCAATCGCCTCCCAATCCCCTCCCAATCACCTCCCAACCACCTCCCAATCACCTCCCAACCACCTCCCAACCACCTCCCAGTCACCTCCCAACCACCTCCCAACCACCTCCCAACCACCTCCCTATCACCTCCCAATCACCTCCCAATCGCCTCCCAATCGCCTCCCAATCCCCTCCCAATCCCCTCCCAATCACCTCCCAACCACCTCCCAACCACCTCCCAACCACCTCCCTATCACCTCCCAATCACCTCCCAATCGCCTCCCAATCGCCTCCCAATCCCCTCCCAACCACCTCCCAACCACCTCCCAATCGCCTCCCAATCACCTCCCAATCACCTCCCAATCGCCTCCCAATCGCCCTCCCAATCCCCTCCCAATCACCTCCCAACCACCTCCCAATCACCTCCCAACCACTCCCCCAACCACCTCCCAATCACCTCCCAACCACCTCCCAATCACCTCCCAACCACCTCCCAACCACCTCCCAACCACCTCCCTATCACCTCCCAATCACCTCCCAATCGCCTCCCCATCCCCTCCCAATCACCTCCCAACCACCTCCCAACCACCTCCCAACCACCTCCCTATCACCTCCCAATCACCTCCCAATCACCTCCCAATCACCTCCAACCACCTCCCAATCACCTCCAACCACCTCCCA